TTATATAAAATATAATTTGAACAGGAAGTGCCATGTCTTGCCTCGCAGCATGTGTGCCACACTCTCTGGCACGTAAGGCTTCTCCCCGCCGCACCCAGTCACTGCTAAGCTCCGCAGGGCGATCAGTGCCGACAGCTGCTCTGGCAGCTGCTTCAGATAAAGCCAGCAGAGGATATCCAAGCGCGTGAGACATGCGAGGAGGCCGATGGACGGGTGCATGGCCTCCAGGTGCGCATTGCACAGCTGCAGCGTTGTGAGGGGGAGCGGGCTGTCAAACACACGCGATGGCTCCTCTTTGAATATGTTGCACAAGCGGAGAGTGCGCAGGAGAGGCAGAGAGGAGAGGGCAGAGAGTAGCTTCCTCTGCCAGGGAAACCCGGCCATTCCCAGGGAGAGGAAGCGCAGGCGTGGGAAGGCAGGAAGGTGCAGGGGGGGCTGTAGATGCTCTGAGCAGGTCAGGAGAAAGAAGCGCAGGCGTGGCTAGAGCGGAGGAGTGGTGTCGTTGGCCCGCAGGAGACATGGGCAGCCCCCGACACGTGCGTGAGGGAGGGCAGTGCAGCAACATCCACTTGCGCATGTGTCTCCGTCACGTGGTTAGGCCCACCCCCCGGGTGCCTAGTCCCGCACCTGAGAGAGCGCAGGTTGGGGAAGTGGCAGCTGGAGGGCGGCATGGGGCGGTGGGACGAGTCGAGCCAGAGGAGAGACGGCAGCGAATGGAGCTCCAGGTGCAGGAGAGAAGGGTATGGTGCGGTGGATGGTGGAATGCGGAGGGGGCCTGTGGAGCGAAGCACGAAGGTATGCAATCCGGTGGAAAAGGAGGACGACGACGACGAGGGGGGGGAGGAGGAAGGGGAGGTGGTGTGGGCACCCTCTGCAGCACCTGTCGGTGCCCGTGTGCCCCTGGCAGTTGGTAGGCGAGAGGAGGATGCACCGTCAAGTTCCGTCGCAAGGGAACGAGGCGATGGGCGGTGGTGGAGGGCCTGCAGGCGGGAGATGCCTGGAAGGGCAATGTCCAGGTGGCGCAGGGCAAGCAGGGAGAGCATGGCCCCATGTGGGTCGAACGCTGCTCTGAGCATTTCGAGGCGCTTAAGTGAGGAGAGATGGGAGAGCGCCGCGGGCACCACGGAGTGGTTAGAGAGAGTGAGGGATGCGAGGGAGTGCAGCGCGGCCAAGCACAGACCCAGGGTGCTGTGAGGGTAGTAACAGGAGAAAGGGCGTGGCCCTTGCTCCCAGTCCCAGTAATCCGCCGCCTCATACCTCTCCCTACTCCATTGCCAAATTCCTCCCTCCTCCCCATCCCCGCCTCCAACTGCCTCTCCCACAACCAAATCTCCTTGCACCCCTTGCTCTTCTTGCTCCCCTTGCTCCCCTTGCTCCCCCCAATCACCATCCATGACCCAGAGGTTAGTGTCGAGGCGAGTGAGTGCCTGCAGTGACTAGAGGGACGCCAGGCAGCTCTCCCTCAGCATTCTCATGGGCGGCCACTTCCCACACTGGCCCCGCACCTTCGTGCCCCGCAAGGACAGGCAGTGCAGGCTCGGGCCGAGCCCGACGAACAGGTCCGGTGAAATGGGAAACCCATAGGGGCGGATGAGGGAGAGGTGGCGGTGAGAGAGCATCTGCGGATTAGGACGTCGGTGGGTACGGAGGGGCAGGAATTGGACGGGTCGCCTAGGTCGAGACGGAGCGAGAGGGAGGAGAGGCGAGACATGTGGGCGAAAGGGGAGCCGGAGGCGAGCTCTGGCTGGATGGGGGCGGAGAGAGTGAGGGAGAGGGAGCGGAGGTGTGAGAGGCGGAAGAGGCACAAGGGGATGCGGGAGAGCAGCAGGGAGAGGTGCTCCAAGCGGCGCGCGAGGTAGGGAAGGGAGGCGGGGAGGGTGAGGTGGGGAGCGAGGGAGGTGTCTTGCAGGTGGAGGGAGCGCAAGGCGGAGCACTGTTGCAGCAAGGCATGGAGCGCAGCAGACACACTCCCCGTGCTCCCTTCACCTTCGTTGCTCACACCATCGCTAACAATACCTCCGCAAACCCTGCACGCCTCCACATGCACCTTCGTCTGCAATACGCACCGCTCTAGCGAGGGGTGATGCTGGGCGACGGACAGCAGCACGCGCACGAGGTAGCTGCGGGAGAGGGGCACAGCGCGCCAAGTCACCATGGCTGCATGGAACAATGTGAGGGCGCCGTGTGAATGTAGCGCGCTTGCCTCTTAGCGCGGCACCATGGCGCAGGGCCACTGGCGGTGCCAGCACACCAGGGTGGGGGAGGGAGAGCCGCGCTGGTCTCCGCGTGTCTCCCCCACACCGTTCCCCCTATCATCCCCCGCGCCATTATGCCATGCCCCCGGAGCCACCACGGGGCACGGCTCCATCGCCCCGCGTGGCCCCCCACGTCGCTGATCGCCAGCATCACCGCGTCGCGCGCATCGCATGTGTCGTCGCCTTCGCTATCGCTGTCCGTGCAATCATCACCGCGGTCGCTCGCCGCCACAGCAGCGTCGCCCAGCCGTCGCAGAGGCATGTTTAGGCGAGCGGGCACCAGCATAAGCTGCACGGTCGATAGATCCCACGACTCTGCGATCGCCCAATTGCTGACATCACCGAAGCATGGCTCCCAGTGCAGAAGCCGCTGATTGAATACCAGCGCGAATCCACCCGCGCCGCCATGCAGCATTGCAGCGCACCAAGCTCTCTGACTTCCTTCGTGCCGCTAGTCCTCTTGTTCCTCGGGTCCTTGCCACCCTCGTTACCGACCCGTCTGTTCCTGCCTCTAGTCACTCGCGGCCATCGCTGACTTTGTCTATTCACGCTGCCTTGACTACGCCACCGCTCTGGTCTCTGACCCTACCACTCCTCCGTCCGTCGGGGGTGCTCCTGCCCTTGGCAGTGACGTCCTGGTGGACCGGCAGTACGAGCTCGCTTTCCTGTCTGAGGCTGCTCCTCATATGTGCTCCATGCAACTAGTCCCTGAGGGTGACCCAAACGCCATTGACATCCCGACCCCTCGCACTTACTTTGAGGCGACCTCGGAACCCTGGGCCTTTTAGTGGATAGCTGCCATGGACGCGGATATGACATCTTGGAGATCCACCGTCACCTACGTCGACGCAGTTCCCCCACCTGGGTTGAACGTAGTCGATGGCCGGCGGCTCTTCAAGGTGAAGCGCCCTCCTGGAGAGCCGTCGGTATTCAAGACGCGCTACATTGCTAGAGGCTTCAGTCAGCGCGAGGGTGTTGACTTCTTTCAGACCCTCGCCCCGACCCCGAAGATGATTACTCTTCGGGCGCTGCTACACGTAGCAGCACAGCGTGACTATGAGCTACACTCTCTCGACTTCTCGATAGCGTTTCTTCAGGGCAGTATGCACGAGTAGGTCTACATGCGTCGCCCGCCAGGCCTCACCGACACCTTTGCGCCGGGGACCCAGTGGCTCCTCCGGCGCCCCGTTTACGGCCTGCGGCACGTGCCCCGCGAGTGGCACGACACGCTGCGTGCTACGTTAGCTGACCTGAAGTTCTTCCTATCCTCGGCAGACGCTTCGCTATTCGTTCGTTCAGGCCAGACCCCGTTTTACATCCTTGTCCACGTAGACGATCTGACCTTCGCTACTGTAGAAAAATACGCGCTGGACTCCGTGAAGGCTGAGCTTCTAAGGAGACACATCTGCCCTGACCTAGGAGAGCTGCGCCGCTACCTTGTCCTGCAGATCTCCAGGGACAGAGCAGCGTGCACTATCACTCTCACACAATCACACTTGGTGCGCAAGGTCCTTGAGAGGTTCGGACTTCAGTTCTCCTATATATAGCCCACACGTCTCCCAGTAGATCACAGGCTCTCGGCTCCAGTCCCCGAGGAGTCCGTACAACCTAGTGGTCCGAATCCAGAGCTAGAGGGTTGCCTAATGTACCTGATGAATTGCACTCGTCCAGATCTCGCATACCCTCTCAGCACCCTGACTCGCTTTGTGGCCACGGGCAGACACCGACCATAGCACTGGTCGGCCGCTACGAGGGTTTTACGTTATCTAGCGAGTACATCGGGCATGAGGCTAGTGCTAGGAGGACACATGCCAGTGGACCTTACTGGTCACACTGACGCTTCTTGGGCAAACGACGCTGAGACGCTCAGGTCCTCCCAGGGCTACTGCTTTAGCCTTGGCGCAGGCGCCATCTCGTGGAGGTCCATCCGCTCGTCGTTTATTGCACAGTCTAGCTGTGAGGCTGAGATCTACGCTGGTGTCATGGCGGCACAGGAGCTCCGCTGGCTGATTTTCTTGCTCACAGACTTAGGTGAGCAGCCTAGTTCGGCCCTAGTCCTGTACGCTGACAACAGGGCCATGATCCTCCAGTGTCAGGAGCCTCGATTGGATTGCAGAACGAAGCACATCCAGCTGCGGTACTTCCTCCTACGCGAGCTACAGCAGCGCCGCCAGGCCCGCGTAGTACACTTGGCCTCTGGTGCCAACACAGCTGATATCTTTGTCTTAAAACTAGGATCTAGGTAGGAGGAGGAGCCATGGAAATGGCATGAGGTTTTAGGGTAGGAAAGTTGGTGAGAGAAAAGAGAACTAGAAAAGAAGAGAGAGGGATACAAGGAGGGGTGTTGTACCCTCTACAGTAATGTTCAATAACATCTACCAAGCCTACACGTATATATGAACTTATATAATTTAACAGTCTTTACTAAGGCACTTGCGCTCAAAGATAATTAGCGGCACTCTACAGCTTGGTCTAGTTCCTGAAGCTTCTCACTTGCTAGGACTCTGAGTGTGTACTTCTTATATTTACTTGATTGGCCTTGTGGCCCTTGTTCCAGTGGCTGGACTGATAGTGCCGCCCTCAGCTGCTTGTCTCTCGCTAGGCACTGCCCCTTGTCTAGCCTAGGGGGTGTGTCAACTTGTACATATATTGTATATGCTAGAATACAACACCCAACCTTATATTCCCGTTGTATCTCTTGTTTTCTATTCAACGCTTTACTCTGAGACTCTGGGCGCATTGACCCGCTATTAACAAGCCACTTTAACTCAGTGGTTAGTGACATAGTTATGACAAACTGCTTCCACCGAAGCCAAGGGCCACACATCACTCGTTTGTGCATGGGGCTAGCATGGCATGCCCATGCTAAGCTGGCACAGCTCTGCTAGGGTGCATTCTCAGCACTATATACCCTGTAATGCTTGGTGAGTGAGCATGCGATGAGATATTACAGGTACTGCAGTTTGTTTAGTGCAAGATGCTACCAGAATTAGCATTACACCGAGGCTATCAGTACTGTATTGAGTTGAGCGTGGATGCACGAGTCATCGTGCCATCCTCCCCATCGTCCTCCCTCCCTGCTGACGACGCTCTCCTCTCCTCCCGACCACCAGCTCTTCTCCCAGTCCTTGAAACACCGCGAGCAGAGCGGTTGGGGGGCAAGGAGGGCAGGGGGGGAGCGGAGCGCACAGCAGTGTGCACACTGCCACAGATCTCAGCAATCACCCGTGCCATAGTGGGCCTGAACTTGGGCTCAGGCTGCATGGGTGGGGCAGGAGAGGAGAAAGGGGCAGAAAAGGGAGTTGTACGGATTATTACAAAAACGAGGAATAGAAACAGCACAGATCGAAGTTTGGAAGGCAATGAGAGGATTTGAATGGAGAGCAAGAGGTGGAAAGGGCAAGAAAGGAGGAAAGGGGGGGATACAAAAATATGGAGGGGAAAAGAGGGAGCAGGAAGGGGCGATGTGCAAGAGATAGAGAGGTAGAGGGGGAATAGAGAGTGAATGAGGCTGGGGGGATAGAGTGAACGCACCTGAATGCAGTGAGAGGCAAGCTTGGCGAAGTGCAAGAGAGCGGTGGACGATGGAGGGTGGCCAGGCATGCATGCGTCCATGAGGGAAGAGAGACCAGAGGCAGACGCAAGGCGCGGAGCAGCCCAGCGCACAAGAGACGACTGCGACTTGGGCTTTGAGCTGGTGGAAGGGGTTGGGGGGGGGGGGGGTGGGTGGAAGTGGGAAGATTAAAGGGAAGAAAAGCTGAGAAAGCGAAAGGAATAGAGTGTGCGGGGGGAGAGGGAGGGGGGAAGGGGAGGGGGGTTGATGGGAAACTGCTGTGGCAAGCGTTTGACGAGCAGATGATGGGCGGGGAGCGGCAGGTGCCACGATGCAGCAAGCGCTGCACGTACGGGTCGACAGGCTTGCGGCCTGTGAGCAGCTCCAGCAGCACCACTCCGAAGCTGTACACGTCACTGGCAGGTGTGAACACGCCCGTCATCGCATGCTCCGGTGCGCTGTAGGCAAACGCTCCCACCAGCTGGTCCGTCTGATGGGGGGGAAGGGGCGGGTGGAGAGCAGGGGAGAGGAGAGGAGAGGAGAGGAGAGGCGAGGAGAGGAGAGGAGAGTCAGGAAACCAAGCCAGCATACCCAGCAAGGAAGGGCAGAGTGAAGAGCGCAGCTGTGAGGGGCCTGCTGGATTAACAAGGTGTTGCTACACAAGAGGTGCTGTGTGCTAGTCAGCTATGGACAGAGTTGCTACAGGCAGACTCGCCCAATGTATAGGCGCTAACTAGGGTTCATTCCGAGTAGGAGCAGACATGGAGAGCGAGCGAGAGTGGGGAAAGAGGAGTGAAGACAAGAACTGACATGAGCGTAGCTGGCAACAGTGGCGCCGTGCAGCGGAGCGAGGCCGGCATGGGCGATGTGCGGCAGGGAGTGGGCGTCCAGGAAGATGAGCGAGGAGGAGATGGCACCATGCACAACGGGCGGACAGCAATCGTCGTGCAGGTACCTACTCATGCACTCACACATGGGGGGCCAAGGCAGAGTGCCAGAGTGGTGAGAGCACAGCCCGTTAAACGAATTGAAGACTTGGCATTGCAGCCTGACACTTCAAGCAGGCACCACAGCGGTAAATTGCAGGGCACTACCTGAGAGCATGCGCGCAGCCAATCGCAATCTCCACCCTCGCATCCCAGCTCAAGAAGCACGTGCTGCCACTGCTGCCAATCTCGCTTCCACCACCACCATCAGCAGCATCGCCAGCTCTCCCATGCAGAGCAGAGGAGGAGCAAGAGGAGGAGGCTGCATGGTGCAGGGCGCAGGCAAGAGTGCCCAGGTGACCAGCGCGCCAGCAGAAGTCGTCCAGCACCAGAAGCCTCTCGCCGCCCTCCACAGAGAACCCGCGCAGAGGAACCAGATTGCCGTGCAGCAGAGGGGCCAGCTGAAGCGCTGCCTGCCGCACCTGCTCCTCTGACCACCCTCCCTGGGGAGAGGGGTCCAGACGAGCCACTGCCACTGGCTGGAAGGAGGAGAGGAGAAACGTGGAGAAGTTTGGGGAAGGGAGGGGTTTTGTTGGTGCATATGTGACTGCTAAATGCTGGCTGCTGGCATGGAAAGGAAGACGAAGACCTAATGCACAGAAGCTGGTGCCATGTGCGCTACTCACTGAGCCATCTGCCAGCCTGCCACTGTAGAGCGGCCCAAACGGCCCCTCCTGAATGCGCGCGCTCAGAGCAAAGCCATCCGTGGCGGCCCACAGCTCCTGCAGAGAGAACTCTCGCACAGAAGACTCCCCTGCTGCCCTGCTGCTGAGTGCGCAGGGGTCCTGAGGGGGCACTGGCGTGTGATGGTCCTTGTGATGGTGCCGCAGCTTAAGCTCCCAGAAGTATGTCGGTGCTGCCCAGGTGGCACAGGGAAGAGAGGAGAGGGAGGCGGAGAGGCTCAGGAAGAAAGGCAAGTCACAGCACGCAAGTAGTGGCACGAGACACCGGGTGGTGAGATATTTGGACGAGTAAGGCAGTCAGCAGCACAGCTCACTTGTCACCCTGCAAGCTACAGCACAGCCAGTCTCACCTTCAGCTGTGAATGACTTGCCGTTCACCATCCCTTTTCGGCCGCCCACCGTTTCGTCTTTCTCCTTCCCCTTCTCTCCCTCTGCAAAATGCCCCACTCTCCCTCCCCACCCCCCCCAGCAGGAACCTTCCCACCAACTGCTGCCGCACCCCATACGCCATAATCCGCAGCAGGACGAGTCAGCCCCGCCCTTGTGAGTTCTGCCAGCCCCGCAGCAGCGAAGGAGAGACCAGAGGGGATTGTGGCAGGAGAAACTGCTGCGCAGGAGCAGGCACAATGCTATGCCGAGAAGCAGGAGGAGCAGTACAGGCACTCCCACGCCCACCGCTATGGCGATGGTCTTGTTCTTGCTGTTGCTAGCAGGCTGCTCGTTGGTGCCATTGCTTGTCCCTAAAATAAGCAGGTTGCAACGACAAGTGAAGGCGTAGGAGGTAATTGCGGGTGTGGACCAACGAGTAAGGATGAGCGAAATCATCTCTAGCAAGCATTTGAGTCTTTGACACTAATATTACCTATCATAAACAGTGGAGCCACCACTCGGACCTAAGACAGAACTCATGCATGCAAAGCTTGGAACCTCAACCAAAGAAATTGATGTGGGGGTGTGGAATCAGAGAATCTAAAGTCAGCCACGAGAAGACCAGTGAGAGCTCACCTGGTGCAGGACGGTTGTCTCCAGGGATCCAGTACCCCAGCACCTCAACCCTTCCAAACCCTCGAAGCCCCAAAGGCTCAGCTCTGCTCGCCCCTTGGCTCGCCCCTCCATCACCACCAGCCGTGCCACTTGAAACATTGGCGGACTGTGCAAGCGCGGCTTCCAGGATGGTGGAGAATTGGTCGAGGGTGGCATGGGGGAAGAGCGCGGTGGGGGCAGGAGGCAGCACGGCGGCAAGAACGATGACACTGCCGGGACGGATGGAGGGTATGAGGACTTGAGATGTGTTGACGGCGAAGGAGCGAGCGAGCTGCATTTGAAGACTCTGTTGGTGGGGGATAGGGAGGAGGAGAGGGAAATGGGGAGTGGAGGTGACGGAAAGAGGAGAGCACAGCTTGAACTCGTGAGATCTTTTGAGAGGATTGGTGCCATTTGAACGGATGGCGAACATGGGGCGTGAGAGGCTCTGAGAGAGGACGGGAGAGCCAGTTGCAGACAGATACTCGGAAGGGGAAAACGGGAGCTGACTGAGAAAACACACCAGTATTTTGTGGTCTTTGAGAAACAAGTGATTGTTGATAACTGTATACAGAACCCCGTGTGTGCAATCGCCCCCAGCATGCTGCATGGAGCTAACACCGTGTTTAGGTTAATGGCAGTAGACAGTACCTGTTTGAATGCAGAGCTGAATCGGCGGAACTCCATTGACAGCCGAAGCTCCACCACCACTGCCTGCACGCACGTGCACACTACCCCATGACTCCCATTCGATGCCATCCGCGCAACCATGTTCTCGGCACAAGGCGAGCAGCCTGGCGGAATGGAGAGACCCAGAGACGGCACGGGTGGGGCTGGAGGCGCGAAGGAGATGAGCGCCAGCGCTGGGGATGGCGGTGAGGGGGGCGGTGGGGGTGATGGCGGGGGGAAACGGGGGCGCGGGGGGTGGGGTGGGGGGCGAGGTGGGGGGTGAGGCGGAGGGAATGGAGGGGGAGATGGTGGAGGAAATGGTGGAGGGGGAAAGGGGGAGGGGGGGATGGCGGGGGAGGAGAAGGAGGAGGCGGGGAGGGAGGGGGGGGAGATGGGGGCGGTGGGGATGGAGGAGGGGGGGATGGAGGAGGAGGAGATGGAGGGGGCGAAGGGGGAGGCGGAGATGGTGGGGGGGGAGGAGGAGGGGATGGTGGTGGAGACGGTGGAGGGGAGGGGGGCGGGGGGGACGGCGGTGGAGGAGGAGGAGGAGGCAAGGGAGGGGGGAAGGGTGGGGGTGAGGAGCGCTTCTTGCTTGAGGGGCGCTTGGATGGTGGCAGAGGGGCTAGGGGCGAAGGCGGGGTTGGAAGTGGAGGACGGAACGGCGGAGGTAGGCCTGATGATGGAATCTTGAGGTCCCCATCAAACCTGACAAGGCAGGGAGGAAGTGAGCGACACAGAACATGGGAAAAGCACAATCTTTTAAAATCCAGGTTTGGGAAATACGGAAGTGCTGTAACAGACCGTACAAGGGTAGCGACTTCACTCAACATGCGACGATAAGCTGCTTTCAACCTTGACTGCAGGTACCGAACCCATGTTGCATTCTGGCAACTGCTGATGGCCATTACACAGACATGGTAGTTCCAGCTATTGTGGCCGTCCACGCGTATGGCTCGTTGACCAATCCCACTCACAAAAACGTTGGGATGCGGAAGTAGGAGGCGGGTATGGTGCCCTGAAACTGGTTCTCACGAAGGTCCAGCAGCTGCAGCTGCGGCAAGTTCCCCAGCGATGCTGGGAGGGTGCCAGAGAGACGATTCGAGCTCAGCACTCTGGGTGCGAAAGGACACGGGTGAGAAAACGGAAGAGCGACAACGGAAATGAGGTGGGAAGAACGAGGGGGAGGGGTGTAACTTGGATGGTAATGGCTAGACGATCAAGTGCAAAGACAGGATGAGAATGCAATCATGCTGTTTGGCAGGGATTATTGGGAGGACTGTGCGGACTAACAGCTCTTTCATGTTGGTCAGCTGGCCAAGTTCCTCAGGCAGCGTCCCATCGAACGTGTTGCTGCCCAGATGCCTGCTTGGTGCCATGTGTTCAAAACATCCATGTGTTGACCATGTTGGGCGTGTTGGGAGGGGTAGCCCGGAACACAGAGATGGGCGAGAAGCAGCGTGGTGAGCACCATTTGCTGATTCCTAGTCCTGGTCCCTTGTGCTGCGTTGACAGGTTGCGCATCAACGTTCATCAGCAAGGGCAAGACCAGGCAGCAGTGCGAAGGGAACAGCACAGAAAAGAAGGTCGCGAGACATGATCAAATCTCGTTAAGGGACTCTATGCTCCTTGCTAGCAGCCTTACAGCACTTGAAGCTGGTTGAGCTTCCCAATCTCTGCCGGAATGGACTCATCCAGGCCGTTGGAGGTTAAGTCCCTGACAAAAAGAAGCAAAAGGAGCAAGAAACCAGAGTGATATCAGCAGCAACGTCAAGCCAGTTCAGCAACCGATTGCGGGGAAAGACTCCTCTCACATGAAGACGAGGCCAGAGATGTCACCAATCTTGGCACGCAGGGAACCAGCCAAATGGTTGCCGCTCAGATTTCTGCAGACACCAAACGCATATGTTAGCTCATGAACGGGAACAAGAAGAGCAGCTCACGGACTAGGCGCAATGCAAAGTAAGTGCTTAGTGACATGGGAGCAGCGCGAGGGATGAAGTATACTGACATGGAGGTGAGTGCAGTAAGGTAGCCCAGGCGAGGCATGGTGCCTTGAAGTTGACATTGAGAGAGGTCCCTGCGTCACACGATCGCATCACATTAGTATCGCATTGCAGGAACGAACGCAACTCATGACAAAGGCAGCAGCAGAAGAAGATTGCAGCCAGTCGGCGATGCTGCAGCATGGATGGAACCAGTCTGTTACGTGTCTTACAAATGATTTAGGCCAGAGAGCTGCTGAACTCCATGGGGAATTTCGCCGGTAAGTGGATTCATACTGAGGTCCCTGCCAGATCCACATGAATGAATGTTATAACACGCTGTCAGATGCAGCTGATGGCGTTAAAAGTATATCGAAGTTGACGAGGCTTCGCTGTATCCAATTATCTGGTCTCGTCCACATAGTCTTGACTCGTCGAATCATCTTGTCACATCACATAATCCGATCTCGTCATATCACGCACAGATGGCGAAGGTTGTTCAGCTGGGTTATGGTATCAGGCATGCCTCCTTGAATCTGATTGCCAGACATCACCCTGCACAAAAGAATCAAGTTAGCTTCACAGCGCAATAGACTAGCACGCCAAGGTCTGGCGACTTTAGCCAACACGTAGACCCTCGAACGAAGAATCATGCTAGGATTACGATAAAGGAAGGTTGATAGTCAGAGAAATAAAGCCGACTCACAAGAATTGAAGCTGATCCAAATCCCCCACGGCCTTGCTGAGAGGTCCCTGAAGGCCTGCGTAGGTTATATTCCTGTTACGGAAGCACTGTCAGGTGAGCCGCGCGAGACCAAAATAACTCGCGAATATATTTGTAGAAAATAAGAACCCCCACAAGCCAATCACGTGACGCGGATTGGAGTCGGTGCTGCACGAGACACCCCGCCATGATCCGCCAGATGCCCCCACGGTCGCTCCGGGTAACGCTCCGCCAGAGCACGGATCGGCCCATTTCCACGACTCCAGTGCGCTGGGCCACCCGAAGCCTCCACCTATTGCCGTCAGCGCGGCGACTGCCACATGGAATGCACACAATGACACGGATGAGCACGTGCACGCGACGTGTTCTTGAATCGCAAAAGCTAACTTGGATTCGGAATTAAGTCGTCATATTACCTTCGTCAGCATTGGTGAGTTGTGAAACGCATGGCCTCCATTGGAGTAAAAGGAGCAGAGCGAACTGCAACTTAGTCAGCGTCTGACTCCGACTCGCCATCCTACTAGCTGCAGCTGCAGCAAACTAACTGGCTGAAAACCCCTGATGTGTCCGTCTCTAGCTCTCTTGAAGGCTCTGGTCAATCTCGAGCCTGCCATTGAGCCACACAGCTGAGAGCACTGCATTCTCGCCATCTCCAAATCCCGAGGTTCGACCTAGCAGCTGTGCAGCTTTTCCCAAGGGTCAGCACAGCAGCATGGGGAGAAGTCACTGGTGTGGCCTCTCGAGATCAGCTTTGATCATCTTGGGAATTCTCTACAAAGGGCGTGCTGCAGGCGCAGATTTCACTTTGCTCGTTACTGCTGCCCCGTCTTCATACAAATAAGACAAAAATACATAAGTCCCAAAGATCATCCATACAGTGGTGTTTTCTGATACTCGTGCTATTTATTGATTATGATCACGGATTTATCATAGCAAGAATATCTGTAGATAAATTAGGTAGTGAGGCACCAAAACTAATTTGATGTTTTCATTTCGTGAAAACAGAAAGGGAGAAACTTTGGGGGACATAAAGAATATATATTAAAATAATAATCACAGTATCCACATTGGTGTCCATAGTGATTGTATATTCCGGTGTATCATCAGTCTCTATAGGTAATAGCGAAGCCAGGGCACGAAGCTCGTAGGGGCTCGCTCGACCAATCGGATCAGAGCAGCGCGCCCCTCCTCTGGCCCACCGAATACCGCCAGAGTCGCTCCTTTTCCCCCCTCCCTCCCCCACGATTCTTTTTCGCCCAGCAAGTGGACTTGTGATGTGACTTGTGACTTGTCCCCAACATCCCTTGTCTACCTATGCCTTGGATTTTCCTCGACTTTCTTCGGAGTGGTTTTTATTTTGTCTGCTTCTGAAGACCTGAGGCGGAAATTGCACCGACTGTTACAGTATGTCCTTCATGTTGAAATTCGGGTGAATCCGGCGAGTAGGAGCTACACACGCCTAGTACAGCACTGCCACGCGCTCTCAGCTACACGTCCACCAACCACTTTATCGTGTAGCTGCGCCGCTAAGACCCCTACAAACTAGGCCGTCTGTACTTCTGTCGCCCCGCTCACCCGACGCGGTGACTAAGGTAGACCAGTCTCGCCACTGTTCCCCGAGAGAAGTCCCCTCGCAGCAGCGTGCAGGAAAGGATAGGATAGGGTAGGATGCACCGCTTGTCTGCGTCGCCTCGCGCCATGACGTGCAGCCGCACGGTACAAAAAGGCAGAGAGTGCTGGGTAGTCAGACATGCATCGGACAGACAGCCATTCAGCCACTACAACCATATTCTTCGAACAGTCAACTCCGTCAACACACTCCACTACCTTCGAGCAAATTCGACCGCACTTCGAGCTCCTTTTCTGGAGAGAAAATCATCCTGTAAAATCACCCGTTGACCCCAGCCATGGCGTCCGTCCGCGTCCTCTCGCTTCTTCTCCTCGTCCTCGTCAGCGCTGCCGCCGTGGCGGAGGCGCGGATCGACCCTGCGGAGTTTATTAAGGCGATCAAGGCGATCAGGAGATCGCCGCGATTCAAGGCCGCGTCTGTTCCTGCTGCCGAGGCGCTGTGTGAGTACCGCTTCTGACTCCACCCACTCGTTTCCGTTGCCGCTTCGGCTACCCTCTATTACTCCACCCTCCTCTCTCTGTCCCCCTTGCTGCCTTCTGCTACCGTCAAGGGCGGTCCCTTCTGCTGCTACAGCAGAGTGACTCGCATCAGCCGCACTACTACCTACCTGATAGCCTCATCTCTTTCCCTCCCCCGCATGCTCTCCCGCTTTCCCCCTTTCCTTCACCCCTCCAGTCCGCCGCCTCATGAAGCTGGACAGCTCTACCGGAAACGTGACTCTCCTCGTCCCTGCAGAGCTTGCCGCGCTCAACGCCGCTGCGCTGCCCGCCTTCACGCTCCCGCAGGCCAACAAGATCCGCCTCTACCATCTGCTGTCGGGGCTCTACACCGTTGCTGACCTCCAGGCGCTGCCGCTCAACGCCAAGATCGCCACGGTGGAGGGGAAAACAATGAAGAAGCTCACGCCTGCGGTCATCCCTGTGGTCATGCTCAAGGGCAGAGACCTGCTGCCCTCCGTGCTGGTGTCTGGCGATGTGTATGTGGGCGATACCCTCGCCGTGCACGTCGTCTCATCCATCCTCCTCCCGCCTGACCTCTAGAGTTCCAGGCAGTGCACATGGGGTTGTTGTGAAGCCACCGGGATAGCAGCAGCTCCCTGGCCATCCACTTGGGAAAGTACGGCGGGCCATGGGCGGTGCTCTGATTGGTGGTGGTGGTGCTGCAGCCTCGCCTCCTCCTGCTTTCCTCTGCTGTGCCGTTTTACCGTGTGTTGAAGATGGAGTGTGGTGGCAACGACTTGTTGCCCTGAAGATGCGTGTGGGTAGTGCCAGGCCAGGTCTGGATATCAGTGTGCGCAAGGCAGATGAAGGCAGGAAGTAGAGCGAGGGTGAGAACCGATTGAGTGTTGTTTTTTGTGTATATTTGAATCTAGCATCCGAGTCGGCTTTCTTGTAGCACACCAATATTGTTCATATTTCCCTGTGCAAGCAATTGGGTTTGCCATGAAATCCAGGTCACTAAAATAAGAGAATCAGCCCAAGCCATTAGCATGCAGCAATAGGAGGAGAGACTTGCTGGTGAAAACGGTGGTGCTCAAGTTCACAGCGGACAATTCGTATGAAAGCGTAATCACTCAGATTTTATGTTGTCTGAAAATGTAATACTTCAGGTGTGTTGGCTAGTGTCAAGTGCACTTCTATGGAATCTTTCCTCCATCAACTTCAACCAGCCTGACCCTTCTTCTGCAAGTGCAGTGTGTGTCCCTGACAGGTCTCTGCGCAGCTACGTGTCAAGGAGAGGGTCAACGAATTGACGGGCTCTGTTCGAAATCACTAAGTGTGGAGACAACTTTCTAGGTTGCGGAACTAGGTACTCGCAATTCACTAACTGCGCCCCTCAACCTGCCTTTCTCCCACTCGGTACCAAAAAGGACGTGCGACACCCAGAACCTTGCTCTGACTTTCGCAAACCTCTCAGCCATTCACAGAGACGTAAGCCGAGCGTGGTTCGCCATCCGAAGTACCTTCGCGAACGGCCACCGATCAGCGAGGACATTCAATCTGTAACCGTTTCAATTTCCGACACGCGTCTCGAATGAGGGCCCTCGGAAAACGAAATGCCGGGACGCCCTCTCATTGTATTGGGCTGGGAATGGAACTGTCAGAGAGTGTGAGGGGGAAACCTGAATTTCGATCTGCTCCCAGTAGATATTGCAGCTCCATTTCATGGCTGGTGCCTCATGTTGGCTGTTCGATCATTTCGTTGGCCAATACTCGCGCGGGGTTTCCTTGCGTCTCGCCGAGCCGACAGCGCGGCGTGACGGGGGTTCTTTTTTGTTGGACCGCCGTCACGAACCTCCACCAATCGCGAACTTTTTGACATCAGATTCCATGGTTGGGGTTCGAGTATTCCTGACACGCTTATCCTCAACCAATCCCGGGATTTCCCGTTTAGCCGTTGCGTTTTTTCGCGCCTCAAGTTCGTTTGATGGACGGTTGCGATGTTATGCAGTCTTCCGTAGGTAGGCGAAATTTGGTAGTGTTGGGGTTGATTTTGTGTGGCAAGGGCCTCGAATGTTGGCCCAACATCAGGCATTCGTGCAGCAGCGGAATTCCTCAGCCTAATTTTGCCTCACCACTCAATTTCGCCTCATTCTCTCGGATTCTTCTTACTCTAGCTTCTTGTTTCGCCTGCCTCGGCAATTTTTTCCGTGCTATAAAGACGTCAATCCCACCGGATTCTAGAGCTTTCTGTCGCAGTTTCACGTCATTCTTAGCACGGTTTCAAACCGGATGCCGCCGGTAAACGCCAATTTCCGCAATTCAACGCCATCCTTCGCCGCTCAATGTCAAGCATGGCGTTTTACGTCAAACTTGACGTCGATTTTCGCTGCTCGTCGCCAACATCCGTTAATTTGCGTGATGCTTCGCAATTCCGCCATCTATCACTATCGCCAAGATTTTCTCGTCACCATCTGAAGGTAAGGCTTCGGATTGAAAGGTTCGTGGGCGATTTCCTTAATTTCGCTTTGCTTCGGTTTACTGGCTTGAACCTTAACTCCCGTGTGTTGTGTCTTGCAGGAAAACACTGGACATTTCGAGCCGCAAATACTGGAATTTTCGCCACTCGACGTCAACCCTCGCGACGTCATTTGTCAAACTCGCGATTGACCTCCTCGCCGTCGACGTATGGAAACGTAAGGCTTCTCGTCCGTTAACCTTTCTGAAGTCGTTAATCTTTTATTCCCGATGGGTTTCGAATTAATTCATGTGTCCCTTGGCTTTCAGGCTGAACTCACAACGCTTAGCGATTACCTGAGCAAGTCGACCATCCCAAGTCGCCAGCCACGCCAAGTCGCCACGTCAGCCATTCCAAGTGGCCAACGAACTGACCGTCGTGTCGTCAGCATCGTTTCCCACTGGCAGTTCGGTATCCGCTCTCCATCCATCGCAACTCAAGGTAACTCCCTCTCTTGCTCCTCTCGCTTGCAGCGCGTTTCGTACTGCCGTTTTCCACTGGCGGCTTCAGTTTTAGTTCAGTTTCCATTGCTCTGTGCAATCTCAGGCTCTCATGCTTTGCGTTGCTTGTGCTGCAGGAAACGCCATCACGCCGCCATCATGCCGCCATCACCCCGCCATCACGCCGCCATCAATCCGCCATCACGCCGCCATCAATCCGCCATCACGCCTCCATCAATCCGCCATCACCCCGCCATCAATCCGCCATCAATCCGCCATCACCCCGCCATCAATCCGCCATCAATCCGCCACCTATCCGCCATCACCCCAACCATCAATCCGCCACCACCCCGCCATCACGCCGCCATCTCTCCGCCGTGACAACCGTGACAAGCACCACCCCCACGAGGCGAGCGACAACGCCCCCAGCACACAAGATTGGGACGAGAGGCGGCAGCATCAGGTCGAGCCCAGCACACCACACCACCCAACAAGCACGCGGCTGCACAGCACGCATCACTCCAAGCCCTAAGCTAAGTACCCTTTCCCCTTCTCGCACGTCACTGCTTCTGACGAATTCGTTTCGGTTTATTTCAACGCCGTTATGCACATACCACTCTATCCATCCCTCTACCTTCTACCGCCTCCTCCTTATATCCTCTCCGTTGCCCATGGCTCCTGGCGTTGAGCTGCGTGCTTAGGGTCGTGTCTAGGTCGGGTTACGCCTGTTTCTCTAGAATCCAGCTTCAGAGTCCAGCCGCGAGCGTCCACTGCATTGCTTTGTCTAGGTCCGTGATGCCTTTCAGCTGCTGCTGTGCTCGTGCCTTTGAGCCATGGGTGACCCCTCCCTCCTCCTCGCCTGCGACTCCATCCACACCCTCCCAATCACCTAATTCGGCATACCGCCCTCTTCGTCCATACCTTACCGCCTGAACGCCAACCTCCTTTATCCTTACATACCTTCACTTGCATGCCACACTGCCTTGCACAAACTCTGGAACCCCAACCCCCCCCCCCCCGCCCCTCCCCTCCACACCTCACCTAATCCCCGCCCCCTTACCCTTCAACACTTGTGTTGGCGCATCACATGCGACCTTCTCCTTGGTTGCCAGCCACTCATTCCCCCCACACGGCTCATTCCATCCCGCCCCAACCCCCCCACACCCCTCTCCCCCAGGTGCGCCTGTGCAAGCTGTGGGGGCGCCGGCTGCTGGCAGGGGCACTGGAGAGGCGCAGCAGAGATGAGCGGGTGCTGCTGGCAAGGGGTGCAGAGGGGGAGGGCGGTGCTCATCTAAGGCGGAGCACCCAGGCGGAGCACAGAGGAAGAGAGGCCGACCCTGCTGCAGCAGCATGGCCAGTCTCGTGCACGACCAGCTAAGTGCCCTCGCCTCCCTGCCCTTCAAGCCCATCGTCTCGCCCTCCATTCGCATCCCATTCTCGCATCTCAAAATCGACCACTGGCTGCAGCCCCACTCACATGCCACAGACGACCACAGCTGGTACCCCCCCCCCCACCCCCCCCCCCCCCCAACACCCCCACCACCCCCATCCCCCAGGTACTCCCCCCCCCCCTCCGTAACGCACTTAAAGCCTTGCTAAAACCGCTTCTAAGCCCGTCCTCTGCGTCTTGTGAATGGGGTTGCTCCAGTGGTCCTGCTCTCCTCTCCATTCCGCATTGCTTGCACGATTTAATCTCCATCTGCGCACTTGTCCCTTCTGCACCTAACTTCCCCTCTGTCTCCCCCCTTCCACCCACACTCCCCTCCGCCCCGTCCCCAGCAGGCACACTAAGGGCGGATGGGCGAGCGCCAGAGGGCTCGGTGCTTGGCAGCGCGAGTGGCTGGAGTGCAGCAGCAGGGGGGTGTGTGTGCATGCGCGCCCACACTCAGCCACCACCACCTCGTACGAGCTAAGTACTGCACCGTGCACGCACCCCCAGGCATCCGCGTCTTGTGTTTTCTTCCATACTACACGGCACACATCTCAACACTTGCATCCCCATGTCTCATCCACAAACTCAAGCCACTGGTAGCAGCCTAGCCACTTGGTGCAGACCCACCTTCAGGTACAGCCCCTCCCCAGGTTAAACCTCCTTCCTAGGTTAAGCCTCCCCAGGTTACTCCCAGGTTACTACTCCCCCTTGGGTCCGCACCATGTGGCTACACCTGAACCAGTGGTTTGCCCGCCACACTTCACTGCTTCCAGTTTCCATGCCTTTAACCCATGCTCTTTCATTGGTTACTGACACTTGGCGTGTTGCCCCTTGCAGGTTGAGGGGAGGGGTGTGGGATCGCCACCAACACTTCCCCGCACCCCTCCCCTTGTGGCCGTGCAGGTGGCTCTGGTGGGCGGGAGGGGGGCAGCACTGCACTCGGCTGCAAGGGAGAGTATGGGGCTGGGTCGGCCACTCAAGGTGAGCACATGATTCGGTTTTCTGCATTTTTCAGCTCTGATCCTTTTGCCCACTGTGACTCACGCCTCCTCGTCCTCTCTGCCTGTGCAGGTGCCTCTGGTTGGCGGGGAGGGGGGCAGCACTGCACTCGGCTGCAAGGGAGAGAGTATCGGGGCTGGGTCGGCCACTCAAGGTGAGCACATGATTCGGTTTTCTGCATTTTTTAGCTCTGATCCTTTTGCCCACTGTGACTCACGCCTCCTCGTCCTCTCTGCCTGTGCAGGTGCCTCTGGTTGGCGGGGAGGGGGGCAGCACTGCACTCGGCTGCAAGGGAGAGAGTATCGGGGCTGGGTCGGCCACTCAAGGTGAGCACATGATTCGGTTTTCTGCATTTTTTAGCTCTGATCCTTTTGCCCACTGTGACTCACGCCTCCTCGTCCTTTCTGCCTGTGCAGGTGCCTCTGGTTGGCGGGGAGGGGGGCAGCACTGCACTCGGCTGCAAGGGAGAGAGTATCGGGGCTGGGTCGGCCACTCAAGGTGAGCACATGATTCGGTTTTCTGCATTTTTCAGCTCTGATCTTTTTGCCCACTGTGACTCACGTCTCCTCGTCCTCTCTGCCTGTGCAGGTGCCTCTGGTGGGCGGGGAGGGGGGCAGCACTGCACTCGGCTGCAAGGAAGAGTATAGGGGTTGGTCGGCTGGACAAAGGTGAGCACTCTAATCCTCTCCTCCTTTTGACACTCGCATCTCCTTGTCATCCCAAACTCAAGCCACTGGTAGCAGCCTAGCCACTTGGTGCAGACCCACCTTCCAGGTACAGCCCCCCCCCAGGTTAAGCCTCCTTCCTAGGTTAAGCCTTCCCAGTTTACTCCCAGGTTACTACTCCCCCTTGGGTCTGCACCACGTGGCTAGACCTAAACCAGTGGGTTGCCTGCCACTTGTCACCGCTTTCAGTTTCCATGCTTTTACCCCTTCGCAATTCCTTTGCTTACTGACTCTGGGCGCGTTGCCCCTTGCAGGTTCAGGGGAGGGGTGCGGGTCAACACCAACACTCCCCCGCGCCCCTCCCCTTGTGGCCATGCAGGTGCTCTGGTGGGTGAGGAGGGGGGCAGCAGCACTGCACTCGACTGCAAGGGAGAGTATTGGGGTTGGGTCGGCCACCCGAGGTGAGCTTTTCAATCGTTCTCCTGCATTCTTCCAGCTCTGTTCCCTCCCTCTAGTAACTCACATCTTCTCATCCTCTCTGCCTGTGCAGGTGCCTCTGGTGGACGGGGAGGGGGGCAGCACTGCACTCGGCTGCAAGGGAGAGTATCGGGGTTGGGTCGGCCACTCAAGGTGAGCACATGATTCGGTTTTCTGCATTTTTTAGCTCTGATCTTTTTGCCCACTGTGACTCACGTCTCCTCGTCCTCTCTGCCTGTGCAGGTGCCTCTGGTGGGCGGGGAGGGGGGTAGCACTGCACTCAGCTGCAGCACTGCACTCAGCTGCAAGGGAGAGTATAGGGGTTGGGTCTGCTGGACAAAGGTGAGCACTCTAATCCTCTTCTCCTTTTGAAAATCGCATCTCCTTGTCATCCCAAACTCAAGCCACTGGTAGCAGCCTAGCCACTTGGTGCAGACCCACCTTCCAGGTACAGCCCCTCCCCAGGTTAAGCCTTCTTCCTAGGTTAAGCCTTCCCAGTTTACTCCCAGGTTACTACTCCCCCTTGGGTCTGCACCACGTGGCTAGACCTAAACCAGTGGTTTTCCCGCCACTCTTCACTGCTTCCAGTTTTCATGCCTTTAACCCATGCTCTTTCATTGGTTACTGACTCTTGGCGTGTTGCCCCTTGCAGGTTGAGGGGAGGGGTGTGGGGTCGCCACCAACACTCCCCTGCACTCCTCCCCTTCACTCCTCCCCTTCACTCCTCCCCTTGTGGCCGTGCAAGTTCCTCTGGTGCATGGGGAGGGTAGCGCGGCAGCAGTGCAGTTGAGAGTGAGGGAGCGTATGGGGGTGGGCTTTTCAGAAACGGTGAGCATCTCAATACTCTCAGTTCGATTTTCTGTTGGGTTTAGATTCTCTGCTGCTTCTGTAAGCTTATTTATCCTTTGCCGTGATTCTCGCAATGCCCCGCAACTTTTTAAAACTTACCTCTCCTCCTTCCTGCGTCTCCTCGCCCCTCCCTCACAGGGTTCTGCCACTTACCAAGACTTGAAAGACTGCAGCAGTTGTAGCAGCGAAGCAGACGGGTGCAGCAGCAGCAGCAGCAGGGTAGTTAGCGGGCAGGACAGTAGGGGGATAGGATGTGAGAGAGCGAGGTGTGGTGAAAGGTAAGGTGCAAAGCGAGGTGAAGGTAAGGCAAGGTAAGCGTAGCACCCCCCCCCTGCAGGTCGGTCAACTGGAGCAGTGGAGCAGTGACGAGGTTGGGAGGATAACCCCCCTCCCCTCCCCCCCACCATCCCCCCCTCCCACCAGGTACGTCGTCCTTCCCGGCTCTGCTGTGGTAAGTGGAGTAAAGGCAACGGGGCGGGCAGGAGGGGGGAGGTGGGGGGGCAGGGTGGGAGGTGGCATGGGGTTGGGGTCCTTAGGGGCGGCATGTGCAGTGCTCTGCGCATTGAGGGGCCAGTGGGGGCAGTGCAAGTATGCGTGTCAAGCACTCTGTGTCCAATCGCAATATCCGCGCGTTAATGCATAATGGGCCCATGGCAGACCATTGCGGCCGAATGGTTCTGTCTCGTGCCAGCTCTTGCCACGCCGGTGAGGGGTAATTGGATCTTGGGCTTACCGTGTACTTGCCTCCTGCCTCACTTGGCTCCTCAGTGCAATGGGTACTGCAGGTGCTGTTTCTAGGGGCTTGAGCCTTATGCCTCTCCTGCTGCTGTGGCAGGGGAGCATGGTTGGGGTGAGTGTGATACAGCTGTGTGTGTGGCGTGTCAAGGTGAGTGGGAGGGGCAGAAAGTGAGGGGGGACTGAAAACCCCACAATAAGGTGAGTGAGAGGTGCAGGGAGTGAGGGGGGGCTGAAAACCCCACAGTAAGGTGAGTGAGAGGGGCAGTGGAGGGAGTTGATAACTCCTACGGTAGAGCGACAGCAAGACAAGGAAGGGGGGGTTGAATCCCCAGAGTAAGGCTAGGGGGGGGTAAGGGGGGAGAGGGGGTTGGAAGCTCCCAGGTTCAGGCGAGTAAGGGGCAGAGGGACCCCCCCCTTTCTGCCTTTGGTTCGCCTTAACCTCGGGAGGTTCTGCCCTCCTCCCAGGACTTGCCCTCACGTTACCTTGGCGAGGGGGGCTGAAGGGCCGAAGGGGAGTGGGTGGAAGCCAAGGGGGCTGAAGGCCCTAAGGGGAGTGAGAGGAAGGGGGTGGTTGAACCTGGAGTTCCACATGATAGGCAGCAAATGAGAATGATGCACGTGTTGCCTGATGCAGTAAGCCCTATCATGTGAGTTCGCTGGTTCAAATCCACCATGACGGGGCAAGTGAGGAGCCGAATATAAGGTGAGGCAAGTGAGGGGAATCCGATCCCGACTAAAAGCTGAGGTACGTGAGGGGGTTCAGACCCCAACTATGAGGGGAAGCAAGTGAGGGAGTTCAGACCCCAACCATGAGGCGAGGCAAGTGAGAGGGTTCAGACCCCAAATATAAGGCGAGGCAAGTCTTGTGCAGGGCGGTCTTGCGCTGGGTGGTCTTGCACTGGCCGGTCTTGCACTGGGAAGTTGTGTTTTGAGTCAACTCAACTATGAGTTGAGGCAGGTGAGGGGGTTTAGATGCAAGGATCCAAGTTGAGGCGCATAAGTGGAGTTCAGACCCAAGTTTTGAAGGTGAGGGTTCAGACCCAATCGAGCAATGGATTCAGGCTTGGGGTAAGGTAATTTTGGCGGATTAACTTGGGGCGTGGGGAAGGGAGCAGGCTTGAGCCCCTTGAGTACAATAAGTGAAGGGAAGATACGGGAAGTTGAAACCCCCAAGGCAAGGTAAAAAAACGGCACGGGAGGAGGGTTGATGCCCCCTGCAGAATGAATGACCGAGCCCCTGGTTGGGCTGGGCAAGCGCTTGGGAAAGCCTTCTTACCTGCTTTGGTCTGCCTAGTGCTGGGAGTTTAAAAACCCTTCTCTTGCCTCTTAATCGTGTTACCCCCCCCCCCCCCTTTCCCTCCCCACATTGGGCAGGGAAGGTGGTTGAATTGAAGGCGTGAATGGAAGATGGAGGGAGGAGGGGGAGGAAGAGGATGCGGACACAAAGCCTTCTGGGCGCGAATGACAGGGTCAGTGGATGACCCCACCACTCACACGCACTGTTGGTGGATTGGGAATTGATAAAAGAGCTGGAGGGAAGCTGGAGCCTCAGCCAGGTTGTCATGTCATGTAAAAACTTCCCATTAGAAGCTGGGGCACTAGATTCCTGTGCTGACTGAACTGAAGTTCATATGAATGAGAGTTGCAGTATCTCTTCTCGTTATTATTCAGCACTATCTCATTATGCAGTATCTAGATGACTAGACTCGGTCGCACTGCTGCATCAGCTGTCAACACATCAACTCAAAGCCACACCAACCGGTGCTTCCCAACCAACCCACCAGTCATCCTGGATACGTGGTAGCTGAGGGCTGCAGTGCAGGCCAGTGTTGTTACCTTCTGAGTAGAAGCAGCGGAAGCAACGCATACGTCTACAGCTGAACAAAGTGAGAATGAACCATGATATCAAGTAAACCAGGAAAACAAAACATAACATACATAAACACGGGCGTGTACCGTAGTCATCGCATGATATTCCCTGCACTCCTCTACGCTGTCGGCTCAGCCCATGCGTGCACGTGGTGTCTATGGTCCACTCAGGGCGGCAGGACGCATTGCACACATCAACAGCGACATGCTGGCACGGCACCACAGGGGATAGTAGGAAAAACGCGGGCGAACGGCCTCGAAACCAGGAACTAGTACCGTAATCTGACACCGAGGGGGTGGCGAGCGGCAATGGCACAGCGGGGAACAGCGAGGAGGAAAAAGACAGCCTGACAGGATGACGGAGAGCAGCGAGGTGCTGCTGCTACTAGAAGCTCAGATGTCGCCGTCCGTCGCAACCGACTGGGATTGTAGTAGACGCGACGAGTGGCGACGCGACGTGAAGATGGGATATATAGTCTCTAGACATCCGAGGGGATGAGCATGGTGGACACGACGTGCACGGCGAGCGTGCTCCCCACGTACACGTCGCCCGCCACCACCATGGCCGGCAGCGCGTCGCGCCCCTTGAGCAGCACCACGGGCAGCGACGGCGGCGTGATCTTCTTGATCGTCGAGCCCTCGAGCGTGGCCACCGTGCTGCCACGTGGCAGCGCCTGGATGTCGGCGAGCTTGACGAGTCCGTCGAGGAGGTGGTACTTGCGGATGGAGTTGAGCTGGCTGGGCGTGAACACCCGGTTGTTGAGCCGCGACTGCACGTATCCCATGTCCGCCGGCACGAGTAGAGTCACGGGCCCGCTGGAGCTGCCCAGCTGCATGATCATGCGGACTGCGGAGGGGATCGGGGGATCGGGGAGGGGGGGGGAGGTTTGGGGGGAGGGGGCGGGGGGATGAGTCGGGTAGTAAATGTGTGAAATGTTGCGAGGTGAAAACCAGGGAGTCCTATCGTGCGAACTAGGAATAGTATGGCGAAGAAATAGAAGAAATAGAAGAAATCTAAGATAGCGAGGAGATCAAAGTTTCGGAAGTCATATCGTCTATATCGTCGGCAGCAATGGGCTCACAGAGGTTCTCGAGGGCGGGAGATGCGGCGAGTGCTTTGGGAATGCGTGACGAGCGTCGGATGGCGTTGAAGGCGCGACGAGCGTCTTTCCGGTTCACTCTCGCCTCCGCCACGCCAGCCACGCACGACACGACTACGAGCATCACGCACAGGAGAGCGGCCACGTGCCGAGCCATGACAGCAAAAACTCGAGAAAAAAAACTCTTAGGAGGGGCAACAAGGAGAGAGACAGTGGGCTAGCAGCAAGCAACACGCAAAAGGTGGTATTTTGCGATGCAGACGATTCCATGGATCAGCCAAGGCTCCCTTTGTACTGTGCAGAGGAGCAACGAGGTGGCGCAGTTGGTTTGCTTGCCCTGCAGTGGGTTCAAGCCTAGGGTATTCCGTTAGGTCACGGAATCGGCCCCGAAATTACCCGTTAACGGACGGAATCTCCGAAAAATCACCCGTTAGCATACGGATTCGTCGAAGACAAATGGCCTTCACCACGGCTAGGAAAAGCCCTAGAACCCCCCAGGAACTCTTTCTTGCACATACTACGTCTCGAGCGATTTGGAAGAGTCCGCTAAACTAACATCTCTTTGCTTAGCGGAGGAAGTAAGGGGAAATGTAAGGGAGGTTAGGAGGGGGTGATACACCACTACGAACAGATCTACTACAAGTGCACTTGGTACGGAATCAAAGAAAAGTAATCCCCAATCTCAAGGAATCACACGCAAAGTAATCCTTTAGGAAGACGGAATTAAGAAAAAGTTACTATGTAAAAAAGGAATCAGGTCGGGAGCAACTCTTAATTTATCGACATTAAGGGTAATTGCTCTTTTAGCCAGAGCCCTGGTGGGTTGCCCCCCCACTGCCGTGCTGGGTTGGTGTGCGAGCCAGTGAGAGCGAGGGAGATCCACGGGTCCGCCAGGCGGGGCAGCACTACCAGGGGAGCGCGGCGGACCACCGTCGGATTTCAACCCTGGGCTGTAGGGATGGGCGTTGATTCGGCGATGCGACTTGGCGACAACAAATACACCTGTTATCCTATTTAGTTTTACAGTTTTTGCACGAGGCTTAAGCCTGTAAGCAGGAAATTGTAAAACACGGGCAAACGGGACTTTGAAGGGGAAATCCCACAGTAAGCAATGAAACTTGGTTACAAAATCTCGCCCATGCACTGGATTGGTTGCCTGGGCGACGTTCCAGCTCTGAAACTCTCTATTGTCGAAATACAACTTGGTAGTTCGTTATCGTTCAGACTGCAGCCAATCAGGTTCAGTGTCAACGCGAGTCATGCTGAGAACCTGGTAGGTGAGATTGCAATTTGGACTGTTCAGGGTGGGACCATAGAGGGAAAAATGTGTAGTGGTGGGGTATCGGGCGGTGGGGTGGGTGAAAAAGGCTGATCGCAGGGTGGGTGAATGGGGTTGATCGTAGCATCTCCGATATGCGCTGGGGTCGGGAAGACTCTGGAAAGTCGAACATGTTGTTTCGCGCAATCGACACTGCAATAGGAGTTGGGGAATACTGGATAACTTATTGTGTTTCCTCGATGTTTTCAATCAAGCTTGGCTGCTCTAGTTATGGGCAAAAGCATATGCAATTCGCACATGTGCATGAGGCATCACATGTGCCTAGCAGCTAGTTCCCAAGGCACTCTTTCTGGGTCACACCAGTTCCCGACCCGAGTTAGTCAGGTGCTCCCTCCTCGCATGATCAGGACGACGCACGATTCTGTTCGGCCTAGGAACATTATCAATCGCCCATTGTCAAAACTTCTTCCCGCGCCGAGTTGACTATCCGAGGACCATGATTTTGCGTGTCAGCGAGCCTCGATTCCTCAAATCGACGCGCCCTAACTCAGACGTTACTCTCAGGAGCCTCGCCATTTCATCTGCACCTCGCGTCGTCATATCCTCTCCTTCGCGTTAGTGCCTACCGCCATGCGGCCTGCGCCCTCCGCGCGCCGGCCCTCCCCGTTGAGTCCGCCGTCGTCCCCGATGCGGCGGCGCTCCGCGCCGTCCAGCCCGCCATCGTCGCCCATCAAGCGCCTCAAGACATCGCTCGCCCCGCGTGCGTTCGCCTGACCCCTTTCACCGCGTCCCGTCCTTCTCTTCCCCCCGATCACTACTCCCCCCTCTCCTCCCCTCCCCTCCCCTCCCTTTTCCCCCGATATCCCTGTCAATTTCCATCCCTTGCTTCTCCCATTTATCCCTAGGCCCACCTCCGTCCTCGCCCGAACCCGCGTCCCTCTCGCTTTTCTTTCTCCCTTTTTCCAACTGTCACACCTCCTTCCCTCCTCCCGCCCCCCTCTTACCCGCCCCTGCCATCCGCAGCGCAACCCCGCGCAGCGACCGCAGCGGCGGCGGCGGTGGCGGCGGCCGCGGCGCCGGGAGTGGGCACGGGCGGGCTGGTGGCGGCGGTGGAGCCCCCCCCGGACTTCTCCTGCTGGACCGTCGCGGACGACCGCACGCTGTGGCGCGCCATGGAGGTGCGGAGGGGGGGGAAGGGGAGAGGTGGGAGGGGGAAGAGAAGAAGGAGTGGGGAGGAAACGAGGGAAAGGTGGGGAAGAGAATTGAAAACGAGAGAATTCAGCTGAGGGAGATACACCCGGCCACCCCTCCGTCCTTTCCCCCAACTCCCCAACCTTTCCCCTCAAAACACACCCCCTCCTGTTCATCGTCTCAAACCTTCCCCCCACCGCGCTGCTCCGCTCCGCGCGCGTCCCCCCCTCCCCCCCAGGCGGGCATAGCCATGGAGGCGCTGGCGCGCGGAGCGCTGCGCTTCTCCCGGCGCTTCTCCCTGAAGGAGCTGCGCGCGCGGTGGCGCGCCGTGCTGTACCACCCGCTCGAGAGCCCCCTGGCCGCCGCGCGCATTGCTCAGGCTGAAATGGCGGACGCCGCCCAGGCAATGGGGAGGGGTGCGGGGGAGGGGGATGCGGGGGGAGGAGGTGGGGGAGGGGGAAGGGGGGCGGGAGGTGGGGAAGGAGAGGAGGTTGTGGGGGCGAGAAAGACGTCAGGTGGTGATGCTGTGCTCTCTGCTTGTGATGGTGCTGGTGGTGCAAGCGGTGGTGCTGGTGGTGCTGATGCTGGGGGTGGTGCGGGCGGTGCTGCTGCTCCTACTCCTGCTGCGTCCGGTGTGCTCTCGCGAGGAGGCAACGCAATAGGCCTGAACGCCAACAACCATGTGGGTGCGGGAGGGAGCATGGCGGAAGGGCTGGGCGCAGGGACGAGGGGGGCCGAGGGGCGTGGGGCTGTGGTGCGGAGACCGAGAGTGGTGCGTGCTGCGTATTACAGGATGAGGAGGAGGAGGAGGAGGGATGGAGAGGAAAGGATGGTGGGCAATGGGGGGGTTGTGGGAAGTGGCGTAAGAGCAGGGCGAGGGAAAGGGGGAGGGGCGGAGGGGAAAAGAGACGGGGGAGGAGGAGGGGGTGGGAGGGACGGGGAAGTGCATGCTCAGGGTGAGGGGGGAGATGAGATTCAGGAAGAAGCAGCAGGAAGGGAGGAGACAGGGGGAGGGGGTAGAAAGAGGCGGAGAGAAAGGGATGGGGAGAATGGGGAGGAGAAGGGGACGGGTATGGGTGGAGGTGGAGAGGAGGAGGCGAGCTTTGACCGCATGCTGTGCGTGCTGGCGAGTGGCGGGGTGAGCGCTCTGGTGGGAGAGCTTCAGGGGGGAAGTGAAGGGGGCCAGGGGGATGTGGGGGAGGAGAAGAGGGGGGGAAAGGGGGAGGGAAAGGGGGGGGGAAAGGGGGAGGGAAAGGAGGAGGATAAGGAAGCGGCAGAGAAGCCTAGTGGACGGGGAGGAGGAGGAGAAGTAAGAGTAGGAGGGGGGGGAGGAGGAGGAGAAGTAAGAGTAGGAGGGGGGGGAGGAGGAGCAGAGGGGAGGAGTGATGTTGGTGGTGAGGATGAGCAGGGGGGCAGGGAGGTGAAGGAGGAAGAGGAGGAAGAGGAGGAGGGGAAGGGGGAGCCGGAGAGTGACACGGACTCGCTTAATTTCTCCGATGCGGAGGAGATGGTGAGCAAAGACGTCTCGAGCTGGTTCTTGGGAATTCAAAGAAGCTAACTCGTCTTGTGCCTCTTGCTCTTGCCCCCATCGCACGACGACTCGGGCATCAACAGGACGCACTCAGTCCTCGCCCCAGCCCGTCACTCCTGCCGCCCCGTAACTCCTGTCGCCCCGTCCCCCCCCCCCAGGTACTGGACATGGACTTGGACCCTGCTGCGGACGAAGCCATGCCCGCCCGAGCAGGTGGGTGGGTGGGGCCATGGGACTGTGGGACTGTGGGACTGTGGAACTGTGGAACTGTGGGGCTGTGGGACTGTGGGACAGCCCCTATTGTCTGTTGAATGATGCCGCCTCTGAAGCCATGTCTAGCAATGTCGCACCCGAGAGCAATCAAGGCTCAAAAGCGCTCAAGGCTGGAGCCATGTCGCACCACAGGGGCCATGTGAGGCGACTGTTTGCTCACAGCGTGCTGCGCTCGATGCTGCTGGAGTCCCGTTCAAAGCTCGCTGAGTCATCCCCTGCTTACCGCTGCTTATGCTGCCTGACCATGTCAGACCCAAATCCCTCTCCTCCCCCTCTCCCCCCCCTCTCCTCCCCCTCTCCTCCCCATCTCTTACCCCCCTCTTCCCCCTGTTGTCCCTGCGCCTCTGCCCCTCTCCCGCCCATCAGCGGCGCGCATGCTGTACGCGGGTCAGCGCGCAGTGGTGCTGCCGTTGGAGCGGTGCAGCGCGGCGTCCATCCGCAGGCAGCTCACGCGCAGAGGAGCCCTCGCCGTGCTGTATGGCCGCCACACCCGCTTCCTCATGTGCAAGACCGAGGTGCGTGCGTCTTTTCATGGTGCTCTTTGAGTTGACTCAAGAAACGCACCTGCTTCCTCATGTGCAAGACCGAGGTGCGTGCGTCTTTTCATGGTGCTCTTTGAGTTGACTCAAGAAATGCACCTGCTTCCTCATGTGCAAGACCGAGGTGCGTGCGTCTTTTCATGGTGCTCTTTGAGTTGACTCAAGAAACGCACCTGCTTCCTCATGTGCAAGACCGAGGTGCGTGCGTCTTTTCATGGTGCTCTTTGAGTTGACTCAAGAAACGCACCTGCTTCCTCATGTGCAAGACTGAGTGTGTGCAACACACCCGCTGCCATGCACTGAAAGAGCTGCTTCTCATGTGCCATGCACTGAAAGAGCTGCTTCTCATGTGCCATGCACTGAAAGAGCTGCTTCTCATGTGCCATGCACTGAAAGAGTTGCTTCTCATGTGCCATGCACTGAAAGAGTTGCTTCTCATGTGCCATGCACTGAAAGAGTTGCTTCTCATGTGCCATGCACTGAAAGAGTTGCTTCTCATGTGCCATGCACTGAAAGAGCTGCTTCTCATGTGCCATGCACTGAAAGAGTTGCTTCTCATGTGCCATGCACTGAAAGAGTTGCTTCTCATGTGCCATGCACTGAAAGAGCTGCTTCTCATGTGCCATGCACTGAAAGAGCTGCTTCTCATGTGCCATGCACTGAAAGAGCTGCTTCTCATGTGCCATGCACTGAAAGAGCTGCTTCTCATGTGCCATGCACTGAAAGAGCTGCTTCTCATGTGCCATGCACTGAAAGAGCTGCTTCTCATGTGCCATGCACTGAAAGAGCTGCTTCTCATGTGCCATGCACTGAAAGAGCTGCTTCTCATGTGCCATGCACTGAAAGAGCTGCTTCTCATGTGCCATGCACTGAAAGAGCTGCTTCTCATGTGCCATGCACTGAAAGAGCTGCTTCTCATGTGCCATGCACTGAAAGAGCTGCTTCTCATGTGCCATGCACTGAAAGAGCTGCTTCTCATGTGCCATGCACTGAAAGAGCTGCTTCTCATGTGCCATGCACTGAAAGAGCTGCTTCTCATGTGCCATGCACTGAAAGAGCTGCTTCTCATGTGCCATGCACTGAAAGAGCTGCTTCTCATGTGCCATGCACTGAAAGAGCTGCTTCTCATGTGCCATGCACTGAAAGAGCTGCTTCTCATGTGCCATGCACTGAAAGAGCTGCTTCTCATGTGCCATGCACTGAGGTGGGTGTGTGCAACGTGCAAGTGCAAGAACAAGGTGCGGGGTTGGGTGGTCATGTCAATCGGGGCCGGTGTCTGAATCATCGTGCATAGGTTCTCAATGGGTGTTCCCTCGTTTCGTGGACTACCACCGGCTGTTAGAGCGCCGATGGCCTGACAGTTGTGTTTGTGTTCTGGTCAGCACGTGCTTTCCCTGTCAATCTGCAACTCCTGGTGTGTGTTGCAACTCTTGGTGTGTGTTGCAACTCTTGGTGTGTGTTGCAACTCTTGGTGTGTGTTGCAACTCTTGGTGTGTGTTGCAACTCTTGGTGTGAGTTGCAACTCTTGGTGTGTGTTGCAACTCTTGGTGTGTGTTGCAACTCTTGGTGTGTGTTGCAACTCTTGGTGTGAGTTGCTAACTCTTGGTCTGTGTTGCAACTTGCATGTCTGGCCATCTGCAACTATCGGCGTTGGTAATCACTCCCCTCCTGAACCCACTATCCTCCCTCCCTTTTTCCCTCCCTCTCTCCCGCTGCGCTCCGCGCTTCTCTTGTGCTCACTGCGCCAATGGGTGTGTGCCAGGTGTCCCTTGGGCGGCGCACGGAGGACAACCTAGTGGACGTGGATCTGTCGGAGGAGGGGCGCGCCAACAAGGTGTCGCGGCTGCAGGTGACGGCCCTTGCAATCGCCCACTCATCCACTGGTACTCTCATGCACCTGCACTCACAACCCCATGCACCCACTCACACCACTGTGCACCCACTCACACCACTGTGCACCCACTCACACCACTGTGCACCCACTCACACCACTGTGCACCCACTTTCGTCACCGTCCCTCCATCCCCCCAAGGCAGTGATAGAGCTGAGGCGGATGGATTCGTCACCTCGCCAACGAGGGGCTCCGCGCAGGGAGGTGTTTGAGGCGCCTCAAGAATCGTTTCGTCCCTGTCCCTGTTCCCCCCTCCCCCTTCCCCCCACCCCTCCCCAGGCGGTGATAGAGCTGAGGGCGGACGCTTGCTTCTACCTGACGAACGAGGGGCGGCGGGAGGTGACGGTGAACAAGGCGCCTGTGGAGCCAGGCCAGCAGGCCATCCTCGCTAACAGCTGCCTCATTGAGGTGGGCTGTAGTAGCACACCGCATGCCCACTGTTTTTGTGTGCAGCGAGCTTGAAGGGTTTTGTATCCGACCTCATTCCATGGCACCTCATCCCCTGCCAGCCACCTCACCGGAATCTCCCTCCCCCCCTCTTTGCATGGCATGCCCCATGGGCGTCAGATGGGCGGCGTGCACCTGGTGTTTGAGATCAACTCGCACTACGCCGAGGAGGCAGCAGCGTACATGCGAGGAGCCACACGAGGGGCCCTGCTGCCCCCCCACATGCTGCCACACATGCCCAACCACATACCCAGCCACATTCACATGGCTAATCACATGGTCAACCACATGCCCATGCCCCCTCACTATCCTCACTCTCACTCTCACAGCCATGCGCAAGGGTACACGCACACCGAAGATGCATCGGGTTATACCAGCCATGCGTATGGGTATCGGGGTGGGAGCTATGGCTTGGAAAGACCCGTCGGCCCATACGCCATGTATGGGGGGCCCATGCCTGGACACAGCATCCTGGGCACCACCATGCGCCCATCCGCCCCATCCGCCCCATCTGCTCACCCAGGCGTACCTTCACCCTCTCCCCACATGCATGGATCTGCCTCTCCCCACATGCATGGGTCTGCATCTCCCCACATGCATGGGTCTGCCTCTCCTGTGGCCTATGCAACCCCAAGCTACATGCAGCAGCATGCGTACTACCATCCTACTCCATCCCCGCACACTCCATCTCACCCACCCTCATCAGCTGTGCATCCTTCTAGAACCACTTACCCTCCTCCCTCCTCTCACCCTCCTCCTCCCTCCGCCCACACTGCTCCCTCCACGGCCCCAGTACCTTTCCCCCCAATCAAACCTGCAACGGAGCCACCTCCCTCCGGCTCTCTCCCACCCGGCTCCTTCCCACCAGCTGCACTGCACCCATCCCACCAGCCATACCGCCCCCCCTCTCACCCTCGCTCCCACACCCCTCTCCCTGCCCCCACTTCCTCTCTCTCCAGGGACACACCTGCCACCCAGCATCATGCTCCCCCGCCCTTCCTTCCGCCTGCTCTGCCCCGCATACCTTCGCCTCTTTCAGCCTCCACTGCCTCCAGACCTTCCTCCCTGCATCCCACCAATCCCCCTACCAATGCTCTTACCAATGCTCTTACCAATGCTCCTACATTTGCTCCTGGCTCTGCTCCTACACCGGTTCCTGCCTCTGCCGTTCGTCCCACTCCTGTGCCAGCCTCCCATCCAACTCCTTGCCCTTCTGCTGCAACCCTCGCCTCTGCAGCAGCAGCTGCTGCTACTCCTGCTGCCACAGCACCCCCAGACACTTCGTCTGAGCATCTACCTCACCCTCTCGCTTTCAATGCATATCTGACTCAACCTGCTTCCCTGCCTGCTGCCGCCATGCCTCACCTTCACCAACCCCCAGCTGTGCCCCCTCAACTCACCGCTCCGGGTCAAAGCCAGCGACCAACCGCCCACTCCGAGGCCTTCAAGCCCAGTCGGCCCTCACCAGCTGCTGCTGCCACCACTGCCGGCCATGCCCCTGCCCCTGCTGCTGCTGCTGCTGCTGCTGCTGCTGCTGCTGCTGCTGCTGCTGCTTCTTCTACTGCTACTGCTACTGCTAGTGCTGGGATTGCTGCTGCTCCATCTGCTCTTGAAGCCACTGCCATTCTTGCCACCGCTCCCACTGGTCATGGCTCCTCCCCAATCACATTGACTGCTGGTGCCGGGGATGCGCCACATTCTGCCAACCCACCGCCCTCTTAGATTGTACACCACACCATGTCAGCTTGCTCGGCCTCTCGCAACCGCCGCTTACCTCGCAGCTCGATATCTGTTCTGCTACCAGTATCAGGGTTGTGATCTGAACCGTGTGCTTGTGAAGGAAGCAGGCCTGTTTACTCAGGAGATTCTGGCAACCATCATTCTTTTGCTGATTTTTGCTGATCTAAGCTGGGAAGCTGAAGGCCGGAAAGACAATAGATCTGCATACACTGGTTTTTTTTTTTAGTGTGTGCAGAATGGTCAGTATTGAACTGGTTTCCAAGGGCGACCATTACCCCTGGTTACATATCACTATTGCCCCACCTAAAAAATTACCCCAGTTTTTCAGGTGCCTCAAAAACGTTTGAAACCCTAACCCTGGTTGGACCACACCACAATCACCTCCACCCACCACCCACCCACCCACCCACCCACCCTGTGGCATGTCTTACCCCTCAACCCAGCCTCCCCATCTTCTTGCCATGAGCATGCACCCTTTATAGAGTATAGGGTGTACAATACAGGTATAAGGGACAGAGACCTTTTAGAGGGGCTCAATTAGGTGCGCACTCCAACAAAGCAATGACTGGAATATCGTTACAGGACAAAACAATATTAGAGAGTTAGGTTCAAGTCAAAATCGTGTCCGCTTCCTGCGGTTGAACTATCCTGCTGAGTACTACTCCTTTGCTGGTTGCTATCTACCTGCACTGTTCCTGGACCTACTTCACCCGCTAATTCTCCTGGCTGAGTTCCCAAGGGCGGAACTCCCAAGGGTGGAGTTCCCAAGGGCCATGAGAGGCAGGACGGGCAGAGGATGATGGTGTCAGCCGGTCTGCTGCTGCCACCCGAGATGGGGGCTCTTTCCACGCGCAGCAGATCCCGGGGTATGTCGTCGTCACTGTGTCTCCTGCCGCCCGCTGCTGCTGATAGCACAGAATCATGGGGGTGTGCTCCTGCTGCTGTACCTCCTCCGGTGACTGCAACTGCATCTGAGGCGCTGGGGCCTGCTGGCTCTGAGCTCTGCTTGCACACAGGCAGGGGACAGGGACGGGGGACAGGGACGGGGGACAGGGACGGGGGACAGGGACGGGGGACGGGGAGGGGGGAGGGGGCGGGGGAGGTGGGGAGGAGGAAGACGGGATAATGAGCCTGCAGGTACAGCGTGCCAGCACATTGGGTTTGATGGGGAAAGGGCTATTATCTTCTGACAGAAAATCTGGGAATGTGGTGGGGCAGCAAGTAGAAACCAGTAAACCTGGGGCAGAGAAGCTGCGGCGGCAGCAGCGCCAGCAAACAACAGCGAAGGCAGCAGCGACAGCAAACAATGGAGAAGGCAGCAGCGCCAGCAAAAAACAGCGAAGGCAGCAGCGACAGCAAACAACAGCGAAGGCAGCAGCGACAACAAACAACAGAGAAGGCAGCATCAACAAACCAACAGCAAACAACAGCGAAGGCAGCAGCGACAGCGAATAACAGCGAAGGCAGCAGCGACAGCAAACAATTGCGAAAACAGCAGCGACAGTAAACAACAGGGAAGGCAGCAGCGACTTCAAACAACAGCGAAGGCAGCAATGACAAGAAACAGCAGAAAAGGCAGCAATGACAACAAACAACAGAGAAGGCAGGCGCGACAGCGAACAACAGCGAAGGCAGCAGCTAGAGCAGCAGCGAACAACAGCGAAAGCAGCAGTGACAGCCAACTAGAGCAAAGGCAGCAGCGACAGCAAACAACAGCGAAGGCAGCAGCGACAACAAACAACAGAGAAGGCAGCATCAACAAACCAACAGCAAACAACAGCGAAGGCAGCAGCGACAGCGAATAACAGCGAAGGCAGCAGCGACAGCAAACAATTGCGAAAACAGCAGCGACAGTAAACAACAGGGAAGGCAGCAGCGACTTCAAACAACAGCGAAGGCAGCAATGACAAGAAACAGCAGAAAAGGCAGCAATGACAACAAACAACAGAGAAGGCAGGCGCGACAGCGAACAACAGCGAAGGCAGCAGCTAGAGCAGCAGCGAACAACAGCGAAAGCAGCAGTGACAGCCAACTAGAGCAAAGGCAGCAGCGACAGCAAACAACAGCAAAGGCAGCAGCGACAGCAAACAACAGCAAAGGCAGCAGCGACTGCAAACAACAGCGAAGGCAGCAGCGACAGCAAAAACCAGCGAAGGCAGCAGCGACAACAAACAACAGAGAAGGCAGCACCGACAAACCAACAGCAAACAACAGCGAAGGCAGCAGCGACAGCAAACAATTGCGAAAACAGCAGCGACAGTAAACAACAGGGAAGGCAGCAGCGACAGCAAACAACAGAGAAGGCAGCAGTGGCAGCAAACAACAGGGAAGGCAGCAGTAACAGCAAGCATCAGAAAGCAACAGCAAAGGCAGCAGCGACAGCAAACAACAGAAAAGGCAGCAGCGACAGCAAACAACAGAGAAGGCAGCAGCGACAGCAAACAACAGGGAAGGCAGCAGCGACAGCAACCAACAGAGAATGCAGCAGTAACAGCAAGCAACATCTAACAACAGCAAAGGCTGCAGCAACAGCAAACCACAGAGACGGCAGTAGCGGCAGCAAACAACAGCGAACGCAGCAGCGACACCAAACAACAGAAAAGGCAGCAGTAACAGCAAGCAACAGAAAGCAACAGCAAAGGCAGCAGCGACAGCAAACAACTGCGACGGCTGCAGCGACAGCAGACAATAGAGAAGGCAGCAGCAACAGCAAACAACAGTGAAGGCAGCAGTAACAGCAAGCAGCAGCAAACAACAGCCAATGCAGCAGCGACAGCAAACAACAGAGAAGGCAGCAGCGAGAGCAAACAACAGCAAAGGCAGCACCGACAGCGAACAACAGAGAAGGCAGCAGCGACAGCAAACAACAGGGAAAGCAGCAGCGACAGCAAACAACAGAGAAGGCAGCAGCGACAGCAAACAACTGCGATGGCTGCAGTGACAGCAAACTACAGAAAAGGCAGCAGCGACAGCAAATAACAGAGAAGGCAGCAGTAACAGCAAGCAACAGCAAACACCAGCCAATGCAGCAGCAACAGCAAACAACAACGAAGGCAGCAGCGACAGCTGACAACAGAGGAGGCAGCAGCGACAGCAAACAACAGCGAAGGCAGCAGCGACAGCAAACAACAGCAAAGGCAGCAGGGACAGCAAACAACAGAGAAGGAAGCAGAGGCAGCAGATAACAGCAAAGGCAGCACCAACAGCAAATAACAGAGAAGGCAGCAGCGACAGCAAACAACAGAGAAGGCAGCATAAACCGCAAGCAACAGCAAAGGCAGCAGCGGCAGCAAAAAACAGCGAAGGCAGCAGCGACAGCAAACAACAGAGAAGGCAGCAGTAACAGCAAGCACCAGAAAGCAACCGCAAAGGCAGCAGCGACAGCAAACAACTGCGACGGCTGCAGTGACAGCAAACAACAGAAAAGGCAGCAGCGACAGTAGACAACAGAGAAGGCAGCAACGCAAGAAACAGCAGAAAAGGCAGCAGTGACAACAAACAACAGAGAAGGCAGACGCGACAGCGAACAACAGTGAAGGCAGCAGCGAGAGCAGCAGCGAACAACAGCGAAAGCACCAGTGACAGCCAACAAGAGCAAAGGCAGCAGCGACAGCAAACAACAGCAAAGGCAGCAGCGACAGAATCAGCAAAACACGATCCCCCCATCAACCCTCCGCCAGCACACATCGTGCCTCTCCCATCCCCTCCTCCCAGCTCCCCCCCCCCCCCCCTTTCTTCCTCCCCCCGCCACCCGTGGCAGCAGCGCACCTCTACCCCACCTGCAGGAGCAGCAGCTGCAGCTGTTGGTTCTCCCTCTCCAGCAGCTCACACTGCCGCCTCAGCTGCTCACATTCGCCCTCCGCCTGCCGCAAACGGTGCCTGGTGACCCATGCAGTACAGGGGGTGGGGAGAGGAGGCAGGGCAGTGGATGCTGGGTCAGTGCCCCAGTGGCAGTGGCACCAAAGAAGGCCGGTATACACCCGTGAGATTTCGCCCTTGGAGGACTAGTGGGCTTTGAGCCGACTCAAGGTGGGATCTGAGTCGACTTAAATTGGGTTTTGAGTCGGCTCAAAGTGGGATTTAAGTGGCTCAAGGTGGGTCTGAGTTGACTCAAAGTGGGATTGATGAAGTGGACGCAAGGTGGGTTTTGAGTCGATTAAAGGTGGGCTCCCAGCTGGTTCAAGGTCGGTTCTGAGTTGACTTAAGGCAGGATATGAGTCGACTAAAGATGGGCTGTAAGTCGACTCAAGACGACACTGACACTCGGACAAACTCCTGCATAAGAGGACTGGTGGGCGACACTTACCTGGCAGACACTACTTCCTACACACGCACAAGACGCCAACCCACCTTAACTGTCGGTCAGTGCAAAATTTGAAGCGCTTCAGATGCAGACACCAGCATACCTTGACTGTCAGTGCTTCCCAATCTGGGACAAGACCAGTGGTGGCCGTTACTCCGTGCAAAGGAATGAGCGCGGTAGGTTGGGAGGACACAGCACAACCCACACAGGCTCACATGTCCAACTCAAGCGAGGAATGAGATAAAGACTAGCATTCAAGTGACATGCTACCTTTGAGTCGATTCAACACTCTCCTGTCTCTCACATACTCTCCTGTCCCTCACATACTCTCCTGTACCTAACGTACTCTCCTCTCCCTTACTCACCCCCCCCCCCCCCCCCCCCCCTCGCTCTCACCGTGCTCGTCGGTTCTGGAACCACACCTCCACCTGGCGCGGCTGCAGCCCCAGCTCGCGAGAAAATGCCGCCTTCTCCGCCTGTTCACAGGCCAAACAAGCCCGAGGAAAAAACACATGGGGAAACTGTGAGAGCTTGTAACGGCTAGAATATCCCATGTCCTGAAGCATATCCTTGTTTCATAGAGCCTTCTTTGCCTGTCAGAGAAGAGGGAAGAATGTGACTTTCAGGGTGATTCCACAGGCCTTTTTCCCTCCCATAAGGACATTGCCTTGACGCCTGAACCATTTCATGCCACCACCCGTACACGACACGTATCAACCAACTACAGTCCAATTTTCGACATACCATTACTACCATAAAGATAAGAGACTAGTACAGAAGGTGGACGGAAGGCAAAGTGCATGGGGGGGGGGCATGAGTGGCGGAGCATTGGGCACGTACCGCGTTGGGCGATGCGACGAGGGCGAACTTCTCCTCCAGCTGCAGCGACTGCACTTTCGTCAGCCGCAGCCGCTTGCCCGGCCGTGACCCCTCCTCCCTCGTGTCGCTGTCGCCATTCGCACCAGAAGCCGCTGTGCCATCCGCGTCCGACCCCCCTTCTCCTCCTTCCCCTCCTTCTCCCCCCTCTCCTTCCCCTCCTTCCCCTCCTTCCCCTCCCTCCCCTCCTTCCCCATCAGTAGCAGCCTCACCTCCACCAGCTCTTCCCCGCATTCCTCCTGTCCCCATCCCCCCGTCCGCTTCTGTTGATTCATCAGCTTCTGTTTCCGCCAGCCGCCCCACGTGAAGCTCTGTTCCGCCCCTTCCTCTCAGTTGGCACTCCTGCACTTCAGGTGGCACCGGTGGTAAACGATGCCGCTGCAGCCACTCCCCTGACTGCTGTGCAGGCTCGTGAGACCGATGTTGCTGTCGCTGCTGCTGCTGCTGCTGCTGCTGCTGCTGCTGCTGCTGCTGTAATTTAACCTGGAGACGTTGCAAATGACGGTGCTGATGAGGGCGATCCTGGTGCTCCTGGTGCTCTGCTGGGGGCCATTCTGAGCCGCCAGGAGCACCGGTCTGCCGTAGGCGTGTCTGGGAAGCAGGCCGTGCAAGGTTAAAGAGACTTGTGGCTTCTTCTGGGCGTGAGGCTGAAGCATCATGTCTACCCATACCATGCCTGCCGCCAACACCCTCCTGCTGTTCCCCATGACGAGCCTCTGGCTGCTCCTGATATGCTGCGTGATGCCGCTGCTCTCGGTGCTGCTGCTGCTGCTGATGCTGCTGATGCTGATGCTGATGCTGCTGCTGCTGCTGGGGCTCCTGGCTGTGCTGATGGGGTCTATCCGGCCTGAGCCTCCGCTGAGGCATTGATGGATCCCGAGAGGAGTTGAAAACCCGGAACCATGCACACAGCCTTAGCCTGGAGCTGCTTCTAACGTGCTAACGGATCTGCAGTGCCCTTTCCCACCCAGCTATTGCTGCTATTTGAGGTAGATACTATTCGCAGTGGTCATATGAGTAGTGATCATTTGTGATGAAGTGCACCGGCGTGATCGTGCGTCCGAGTGCCAGCTTCCGCGCATGATGGAGTCACCTGAAATGTGCCCAACAGCATCAGGGGCCGGTTGGGGGGGGGGGGGGGGGGGGGGGGTGGGGTGGGGTGGGGGGGTTGCAGAGGAACAAGGCTCTTGTTTAGGATTTGGACAGGAAAATCAGTGCACCGTCTCCGTGCCCCCTTCCCCTCCTCCCCTCCTCCTTCCCACCCATTCATCCCTCTCAATACCTCCTCCCCCCCTTTTGCTCTCACTCTCCCTCTCACCGTCCCTCCGTCCTCTCCCTCCTCTCCCTCCCGTTCTTCCTTCTCTTCCTCCCTGCCCCCCTCTTTCCCTGTCACCGTTTTTACAAAGCGCTAATCCTGTTCAAGCGGAATACTGTTGAAGTGATCTTTCACAATGGCTTTTCCGAAAAAAAGTCCCTCACCTCCTAGTGACAGTGGTTTCCCGATCCGAACGCATCTACTACCCTGAACAGGAAACAATGGAGTCCCAACTTGATGTGGACGGCGATCGTTGGCGATGAATAGGCCAATGTTATGCCTTCTTGTTTTCTTTTGCCATGTACTACCAAGGACTAGTAGAGTAGAGATTTTTAACCGGAAAGCTTTCAGGGTCCTGGGAGTATAATACTGCTGAGGGTCGGCTTCTTATTAATGTGGTGAACCCTGCTTCAAGGGCTAAAACTTCTGTTAGTACAGGTAGCGTAGTAGTAGTATGCTGGAACAAGTGAAAGCATGGCTGCAAAGCTGCATACACCTACCCCCGCGAGCAGACGCCTGCGTTACACACACAATCCGAACAGAATTTTAAATGATGAACGTAACGAGCTATTATCGCCTAACGGACAGTCCCAAATAGGACTGGTGTTATGTGACAAGGCTGGTTACCCTGCCGTGGGAAACAAGCGACAGTGCATGCTGCCCACTGTGAAGTACAAACTTCCGGTTGGTGCCGCCCACGCATGAGTGAAAGCCCGTTTGCCCCTGATAACGGAATGGGCGGAGGATACACACACGAGCCCGAAAAGCTTTTGCGTCCATGTATCATAAGTAGGGTGTACCAACCAAGGGAGTTACGCTACAGTACCACAAACCCCTGTTGTGTGGTTTGGTGGTGGTGGGGTGAGATGGGCGCGATGGTGGTGGGTGTGATGCTTGGATTGGTTGGGCTTCTGCCGGAGATCTCAGAATGGCCGCGCATATCTTCTGGGACAGCCCTGCTGGAGCGTACTGCTGCTAGGAACCGTTCCGGCCACCGAGCAGCTGGCATGGCAAGCCTGTCTGTCAAGAATGAACACTCCACTCTGTTCTGTACACTGTCTGCGGGAAAACCAGAACGCATTCACTGCGACCATTTACCATTTCTCTGCCCACACTGCACAAGCGGGCGGCATTGGGCAGCGAGGATCCCTGAACCAGGCCTCTGGAAGTCAGGGTAATTACACTTCATTTTCAAGGAAAACAGGGTGAAATTTTAACCTCGCCTTGCTTTTGACGCATTCAGAATATCGATACCCGTCCATGGACAGGCAAGCCAGAATTATCCCATGGCCAATTTCCGAGTACGGGATAGACCCGCTCTGTAAAATCTAATGTCAACGTTCGCGCCCCTGGTTAAAAATTATCCCCCTGTCATTGTCAGGAGTGGCTTTTCCGAGCTTGACGAAACTCTTGCCTGCAAAAAAACTCACACTTTTTAGGGCTATCCAGCCTGGACGAGTTGGATCCCGGGCAAACTCGGAGACTGCAGGGTGATCCCTAGGATATCGAGAGGCCTGCCCGGATCACAAGACCCGTGCAGCGAATGGTTGAGCCTCCAAAAATCCCCGCCAATTGAGGTATAGTTATTGCTATTCAAGATGCGCAATTTCTACGTGTCCATTTTTTGGGGAATTGTAGGAAGTACCAAACGTCATAGAGGTTGGAGGCATTGTGGAGAAAAAATGGACGAGCCCAGAATGCCAGCGCCACACGCACTTGACAAGCCATTGCCACAATGCCAAGAAAGTTCTAGAGAGTTAATGCGACAAAGTTTGCCACACATATGTCTTGCCCACACCAGCAACCTGACCTGACACGGCCACTGTCTTGTTCCTGTCAGATGTTCTTCGCATGCTTGGGTCTGCATCAGTTATTTCTGGCATTCAGTTCTTTCGGGTGTTCCCTTTGCGGTGCACTGACGTGCGTTGCGTTTAAATGGGATCAAAGAGCGAATGTTTACAGAATTTCTAGAACAATTAGCTATGTTCTAGAGCAAGCGTTCACCGAAATTCCGATTTCCTAGCTCTTAAAGGCCCTGAAAGTAGATTTCTCAGTTGTCCGTTGAAGAGTTCGAGGATACAGAATCTAGCTCAGTTCTGTGCTTGTTTTTGTTTGTCATTTTGTATATTCGATGACGTCGTTCCTTGTTTCCACGCTGCTTCCGCCAGAGTGTCTCGCGCAATGGGAGCCACTTTCTAGCACTGACCATCATTACAAAATTTGGGAGCCGCTTATGTGCGTACAGTGGGGTAGAGTATTTCAGTTATGGTGTCAACCAGGCCTCTCGATATCCTAGGGGTCACCCTGCAGTTTCCGAGTTTGCCTCGGATCCCACTCGTCCAGGCTGGATAGCCCTAAAAAGTGTGACTTTT